ACACACACACACACACACACACACACACACACACACACACATGAAAGAGGGAGGGGAGAGAGAATTAAAGAAAGAGAGAGAGGGAGAAGTGGAGGTCTTCTATATTTTGTCCTTGCCATTTTTGAACCAGGGATCCAGCTAGTTCAGTCTGCAGAGTGGTTATGCTTTAGGTAGAATTCCCACCAACTGTTTTCATTCATGCTGTGTCTGGCTCCATCTCCATCAACCTTTCTCTTCCTTTTCTGTCTCTGAGTCTATTTATTTATTGATTTATTTATTTATTTATTTATTTATTTATTTGTGTTTTGAGACAGGGTTTCTCTGTATAACCCTGGCTATCCTAGAACTCACTATGTAGACCAGGCTGGCCTTGAACTCAGAGATCCACCTGCCTCTACCTTTCAAGCACTGGGATTAAAGGCATGCACTACCATGCCAGGCACTAAGTTCTCTCTTTGCCTCTCTATTTAAAAGTCCTGAAACAGTTTTTTTAATCCACAAAGCCAAGAACATTCCACTTGGGCACAGCTGAATTGTGATGGCTGATGGCTGGCATTGTAATACCACTGCTGGCATAAGATTTGTTGTGTTTTATACGAGGCTGAATGCGGTGACAGAGGCCTTCTACCCCTAGCCCTAAGAAATTATCTTCTAGTGTTACATTCCTGGAAGAAGTGTGGAAGCTCGTTGTCCTGACCTTGGAGATGCAGTGATGTGTCTCTGTATGTTAGGGTTAGACCTCAAGGTGTTTTCCAAGCTTTGGCCAGCTATTTTTGGAGGAAGGTATGATGGGGAATGTACTTCTGTGTATGTTTATCTTATTGATTGTTGAATAAAGTACTGTTTGGCCAATGAGGCAGCAAGTTAGACAGGACTAGGAGTCAAAGAGGATTCTGGGAAATGTAGTAGAGAAGTGGTGATCCAGGCAGGAAGTGACATAGCAAGGAGACTCATATTTAAGCAAGGAGAAACAGGAAGTGGCCCCTTTCCCCTTTGCCTCCTCCAGCGGTGCCATGTGATCCACCAGCAAGGGAGGGTACAAATGGAAGGCAGCTGATAAGTCTTATAAAATATATAGATTTATGATAATTGAGACTGAGCTAGCAGATGAGAATCCTAGTCATTGGCCAAGCAGCATTTGTACCTAATACAAGTCTCTGTACATTAATTTGGGCAGAACTCGGGCAGCTGGTAGAGACCGCCCACATGGTGGTAGGGCTTGGGCAGCTTTTGGCGGAAAGATTTATCATAACAAAGGTAGCCATTCACTCAGGTACATCTTGCCTACTCCTTCTGGTTTGTAGATAACAAAGGGGGACAGCAATAGACAGCTTGTTGTGTATCTTGTCTCTCAAAGCCCACTCAGGGACCTCAGATCCATTTTCATTTCCGAGTAATTTACTTTTTAACTTTATTCATTTATTAATATTATTCTGGATGGGTGAGTAATATTTATGCATGGGGGGGTTGTATGTACCACAGCATGCATATGGAGGTCAGAGGACAAATTTGTGAAGTTAGTCCTTCCCTTCCCCCTTCGCATGAGCTTCAGGAACTGAATTCAGGTGGCCAGGCTTACTCAGCAAGCACCTTAACCCTCCAAGCCATCTTGCTGGCCCCATTTCTGGGTAATTTAAAAAGGATGAAGTCTTAGGCTGGCAGGGTGGCTCAGTGACTAAGAGCACTTGCTGTACGGGTGCTCAAGTACTTGAGTTCAAATCCCTAGGGCTCATGTAAAACTGCCAGGCATGGCTGCACATGTCTGTAATGACAGCATTAGAGGTTGGAGACAGGTAGATCCTGGGAGCACACTGGCCAGCTAGCCTATCCTAAACTAGGAGTTTCCAGTTCAATGAGAGGCCATATTTCAAGGGAATAATGCAGAAAGTGATAGAGACACCTGACATCTTCCTCTGCCCTCCATATGTATGGATGCACACTCACATGTATGTAACACACACATGCTCACGTGTGCACACACACATATAATACCATGTACACATACCAACTTGCACATAGAATAAAAGCACTCAATGTTATGAGTGCTGAGGAGTTCAAGGCCAGGGGCTGTATCTAGTGTGGGCCTTCTTGCACAGGGCATCTCGTGGTGAGACAGAAAACCCGATTCTATTTGTCCTCTTCAAAGCTGCTGTGCCTTTGGATTAGGCCCTACCCTTATCACCTCATTTTGCATCATCACCACCCAAAATTCCTACCTAAATGCCATCATTGAATTAAGTATGCTTAAATCCTTAAAACCTTCCAATAGGGATTAAATTTCACAGTGAGTTTTTGTGGGAACAGTCAGACCATAGCACCAGGTGAGGCAACATCATTCTGGATAGCCTCAGATTGAGCCTTGGGTTGCTTCTAAAGGCTAGAGAGCTGACTTCCTGACCCATGTTTTTCTTCTGCAGAGCCATGCTTGGACATCCTACCAGTATCATGAGCATGAAATGACCCTTTATGGAAGGAAGTCTATATGGGAAATCCTTAGGTCTCAGAACTTAGGCAAGCTGTTGCTTATGTTAGGCATGATCACTGTGGGTCACCATGCCCTTCTAAAGCTGAGCTGCTGGGATAGCCAAAGTCATTGCCACCTGCAGACCCTTGGGCAGGACAGTCTGCAGTGACTCCTAACTTGAGTTTTTATAAGCCCCCTGACTTCATTTGCCCTGATTGCCTTAGCTTTTCAGTTTATGCTTTTCGTTTGTTAGTGTTTCTAGAAACACCCCTCTGCACTACAGAATGCAATATGGAATAACGCATATGCATGAGTTGATTTAAATCGACTACACTTTGAAGCAGCTATGGAGAGTAAGAACAGAACTGCCCCACAGATGCCATGGATGTAGGATGCCCACACTGTGGGACAAGGGGAGAGCTGTAGGGCCCATCACCTCTGTTGGCTCATCTTATGACATACTACTCCCAAACTACCCCAAGTCCAAAATATATAAACAGAGGTCATTAAGCACACTTTGAAATCTCCGCAGCCTCCCTTGAGACTGGGCTGAACTGACTCCAGTGGAAATCTGGGAACAGAAACCTGGTTGAAACTGCTTTTATGGATCCACTAGTAGGAACTTGTTAGTCCCATAGGGCCTGGGGACTGGGAGGGACCACATTGCTGGGAAGTCTGGGTGGGAGGGAGGGCAGAGGAGTGGAGGGAGGAAGCTTAGACAACCGTTGAAAAGGGTGAGTAGTGATGGCACAGTGGTCCCTGCAGTGGGTTAGATTCTCTGTCTAGGTTTGAAGGGACCAGGGAGCCAATACTTTCCAGAGAGGTCAAGCTGCTTGTACAATAAACTCATACAGCGCTGGGACTATTTTCACTTTTCAACAAAGGAGGTGACATTTTACTCCTGGACCAACTAGCTACACCATCTGCTCTACTCTTCTGGGTTTGCAAATCTCTCCCTTCTGTGCTGCCTCAAAGGGGCAAGGGTTCCTTTACTTCATATTGCTTTGTGCTTGAGGGCTCACCACCCTTCTTGATACATAATGTAAGCAGGTTCAAGCCATCTCCTCCCTCCCCAAAAGGACACTGTGCCTCAATGGGAAGCAGTGGCATGCCCCAGGCTACTTGTCACATTGAATGGCAGCGTCAAATTCAGAACTAAGAGGCCTGTGCCTTTTGCACAGAGCCAACAAGCTGGCACAAGGGAGGACAGTGCCCCTGGCATCCATCTGGTGCTCCTTGGAGTGGGGCACGGGTGGGTCCTGCTGGAGGACTGGGCTCACGTTGCATGCTGTCTTGTTGGCAGTGGAATCTGGTGTGTGAGGATGACTGGAAGACACCCCTCACCACCTCCCTGTTCTTCGTAGGCGTTCTCTGTGGCTCCTTCGTGTCTGGGCAGCTGTCAGACAGGTAAGGACTCTGGATGGGGAACAGTAAGGTGGAGCTACTTATCAGTCCACAGCCTATCTTGACATAAGATCAAAGTCATAGGCTTTCTACACAGAGAAGGATCCTTGAGGCACTGAGTGGCTAATAGGAGGAGTCTAGCACTTGGGAGGGTGAGGTCTGAGGAGAGGATGAAAAGTTCAATGTCAACCTGGACTCTATATCAAGACCCTGCCTGACCAACTAAATAAATCTTGCCCAGTTAAATCTAGTGGGCAACCTTGACTGTAGCACCCCTACATAACAAGACCTGGCCCATTTAACTAACTGAATGACAAACTAGCTAAGTAGTACTAACATGTAACTCTAGCCTCCACATCCTGCCAAGGCCCACTTCTGTCACACTCCCAATCTTAACTCACAGGACTTTGGCCAAAGAGATGGAAGGATCAACTCCACTAGAAAGTGGGGCCCTTGTCCCACAAGCCCCTTCACAGAAGAGATGCTGGTATTGTCATTGCCCCCGACTCTGTCCCCAACTCTTGACTGGGCAGGGGGTAGATTGCATGTCATTCTGCACAAACAGCCAACAGCTAGAATAAAGCCAAGTCACATAAACTATGCACTCTCTGATCCTGGGAGCTGAGCCATGGCTGGGCCTGTAGCCATCGAACTGACCCAGGCTGGCTTTTGGGCACCAGAGCTTGCAGGTTTCATGGGGACAAGATTTCAGTTTTCTCAGTTGTGCTCTACCTGCCCTGTATGTGCTCTTGTGGCCACAGCAGGTGAGAGTGCTAAATAGCAGTGTTGGCTTCCTGGGGATCTGCCCCTCCCCACAGTTTTAAGTCCAGCGGGAATGGGGCAGGAATGCTCCACCCTGACCAGTAACACAACAGACATGGTTGAGAATGGCATCTTCCCATAAAGCAGTGGTTTGCAATTTTAGAGACACATAGACACACCTGGGCAGTTGCATAACACCCCAATACTCAAACTGCATGTAGACAAATAAGATTCAGGAGAAGTGGGGTGCTGGTATGAGCATGGGTACTCCTTGACTTTCCCTAAGCCCTGTCCTGACAAACCCACCCTCAACTGAAGAGATTAGATTGAAAACAAAACAAAACTAAACAAAACTCTTCACACACCTAATACAACATGCTAGCTCAGCTAACAGACAAATGTAGAGGGCCAGTTGTATCCCCTCACTGTGCTTCAGGAGTATAGCTCACTGTTGTTGCTCAACATGGATAGAGAGGCTCACGGGCCCTGTCCAGCAGGTAGAGTAGGGAAAACACGAATACAGAATTCAAAGCAGGAATTCTAACTAAATGCATAGCACTTTCCCACCATTGTGAAGTCACCAAGTCCTAAGTTGAACCATTTTAAGTTAAGAAATGTCTGTCATTTTTAAAGCTCTCTGGGTGGTTCCAAGTGCAGCTAAGGTTAAGAAGCAACAGCCCTTGAGGGAGTTTCTAAACATACAGAATTCCCATGTGGGTGATAGGAGAAGGATCTGCAATCTGCACTTTGTGTTTTACTCACTTTTCACAGGCCCACGATGGTCAAGGATGGTCTCAAAATCACTACGTAGCCAAGGATGGCCTTGAGATTCTGACCCTCCTGCCTCAACCTCTCAAGTGCTGGAATTACAGATATGCACCATTCTGGGGATCAAAGCCAGGGCTTCATTTGGGCTAAGCAAGCATTCATACACCGAGCCATACCCCTAGTCCTCCTATGGCTCCTTCTAAAGATTTGTCCATGTGGTCTTCACATTAGATGCCTGTTTTCTCCAGAAGCAAGGCTTGGCACCTGGGAAGGTAGTCCCTGGGCAGGTGGATTCTGGAGGCCTCTCTGGGGAGGAGGCTAACAGGATGTCACAGGAAAGAAAAAAATCTGAGTCCTGAGACAAGAAAGACCCTATAGTGAAGGTAGGCTTGGTGTTGCAACACACCCTGACTTATGACATTGTGTTATGTTCTATAGGTTTGGCAGGAAGAAAGTCCTCTTTGCGACCATGGCTGTGCAGACTGGATTCAGCTTCGTGCAGATTTTCTCCACAAACTGGGAGATGTTCACTGTGTTATTTGTCATCGTCGGCATGGGCCAGATCTCCAACTATGTGGTGGCCTTCATACTAGGTAGGAATGACTTTTGAGACTCCGGTCTTCTTCCAACCTTGTAAAATGCCAGGCAGGAGGGAGCCACTGAGTGTGAGTTCAAAGTGTCCTCAACTTTAGATACATGTGTGTTGTGGAGGGGCTGCAGCTATAGGCACCTTGAGCCAGTCACTGCAGGACAGGGCTCATAAAGTGTCATCTGTACTGGACCAGAATGTGGCCCAAAACAAGAGCTGGAGCTGGGAAGAAGTAGCCACACAACAGCTAAGACACATCCTCAAGATCAAGGGGCTTGGGACAGGAGGTCCTGGTGGAGAGACAACAGGGAGATGAAGACTATGATCTTGGCTGTAGAGTCATAAGGCTGGTGGCCTACAAAGGGATTTAGGGGATTCATATGGTATATACACATATATACATTGAGCCCTTGCTCAATGGCAAGAATTTGTCCCACCTGGGCAGATCTTCTGTGGCCTGAGTCTGAGTCCACACCCAGAGCATATGAGCTTTGCACAGGACAGCTGTGCCTCTCTGATAACAGTCCAGGCTGATAACAGGCCAGGCTGAGGGAGGGCAAGCCATCAGTTCCTAGGCCCTGGGGAGGCTCTGAACCCTCTCCAGTTTTTCTGAGCTGTTCTCAAAAAGGTGATCCTCACCATCAATTTACTCTCTGATCCCCCATCATGCTGAGAGGAGATGAAATGCACTCCCAGCACAATGATCACCAAGTCCTACAATCTTTAGTACAACCATTCTAGTTGACCTGAAATTACCCCAGTTTGCCCCTATTATCACAGCATAATTATTGATTTTGCCGCTTTAATAGAACCCTTTCTTACACCTGGCTATATGGCTCTGATTGCTCTCAGGAGCCTCTGACTCGCTGGCCTTGGCAACTGTGTGTTCTGTAAGCCAAAGACATGCATACCCTCTGTCAGGTTGCCAAGGTGGAATTGTCCAAATTCCATTCCTTTAATTATTGGTGAAGGGCTTCTTGCCACAGGCCCAGCCTCCTGTCTGGGGAGGGAGAACACACAGGAGGAGACAGAGCAAGCAGGAGCCACAAAGTCCCAGGAGGTAGCCCTCTATTGAGAAGGCCCTCGCTCTGCAGGAGCGAGGAGTGGAACAGGACTTTTTCAGAGGTCATCTATGAGGCTGCACATATGTTATCAGGAAACAGAGACAGGAGAATGCTAAGTTTTAGGACAGCCTGAGCTACATAACAATACCATGGCTCATAAAAGCAAAACAAACAAAACTTTACCACTAAGAAAAAACTGCAATTCTGTAGAGGGCAGAGAAGTTCGTGCAGAAAGCAAAGGGCTGCAAACAGTGTGTGATGTGACCCTGGAGCAGGTCCCTCTGGATGGAAGGACAAGTATAGAGCAGCCTAGGCTGGGAGTCACGCTCTCTAATGCATTTTACTCATTTAGAAAGTGTGTGTGTGTGGGTGTGTGCACATACGCATAAGTGTGAGTGCAGGAGTGTGGACAGGTGGAAGGCAGAGGAACTACCAGATGTCTTTCACAACTGCTCTCCACCTATTTTTTTAATTTAATGTTTATTTTGCATGTGGAAGGGGGTACACACGTGCCATAGCACATGTGTGAAGGGCAGAGACCAACTTGATGAAGTTCATTTTCTCTAATCTCCATGTGGGCTTCATTCACCTCAAGATTATCAGGACTGGCACTGAGCCAACAAGCTAGTCATTCACCCTGTCTTTTTTTGTTTTGTTTTTTTGTTTTTTGTTTTTCAAGACAGGGTTTCTCTGTGTAGCTTTGGAGCCTATCCTGGCACTCGCTCTGGAGACCAGGCTGGCCTCGAACTCACAGAGATCTGCCTGCCTCTGCCTCCCGAGTGCTGGGATTAAAGGCGTGCGTCACCAACGCCCGGCTTCACCTTATCTTTTGACATAAGATCTTACACTGAACCTGGAGCTCTCAGGCTAAACTGTCTGGTCAGCCCGCCCCAGGGATCCTCCTATCTCTGCCTCCCCAGCACTGGGATTAAAAGCATGTTCCACAGTGCTCAGCTCTTTTAGGTAGGTACTAGAGATTTGAACTCATTTTCTCATTCCTGCATGGCAAGCACTGTATCCACTGGCTCAGCTTTCCACGACCCTCAGTCCCAGCTGTTCAAGTCGCACAGAACAAGCCCCCCTTCTCCAGAGACACAGGGACTCCAGCTCTGAGAGCCTCTTCTGTGAGAGTGGGGCAGTGCCGCAGCTCTGGCACTACTTTCCACAGCCCTC